GTCTCCAAACAAATTGATGACATATGTAAGCCTATTCGATATTACATTCAGAAAAATTAATCGGTGGATGGGAACAATGAATCTCCAATTAGCACAACAAAAAAAGTGAAGCTGTTCTTATCACTAGTAGGAAAAGAATTGAGACCATCAAGCTAAGATAGGAAATCTTGAGATCACGTCAAAACCTCACATCTGTACCTGGGCGTAATGCTTGATGCTCGTTTGAATTTCAATCAACAGGTGGAACACGTTAGTGCTAAGGCGTCAATAGTTAGGACGAAACTTGCTCGACTGATGCCTAATATTGGAGGTCCTAAACAAACCAGAAGGATATTACTATCGTCAGTTATTACTTCAGTGCTGACATATGGTATCTCCATATGGGGTGATGCTCTTAAATCTCAAATCGAGGAGAGGAATGGCAGGCCCTTATACCGTCTCAGTGCTATAAGAATTGCTTGCGCATTTCGCACAATATCGGCGGAAGCAGTGTGCGTCATTCAGGAACTGTGCCTCTCTTAGTCTAGCAGAGGAAAGACGGACAATTTACCATAGAAGACATCAACAACTGTGTCCTGAAAAGTTAAGATTAGAAGAACGGCAGAACAGCATTGACCGATGGCAGCGACTGTGGGATGTCGCTGTAAAGGGCAGATGGACGCATCGTCTCATTCCTAACATCAAAGTTGGCTAAGTCGCAAGCACGGCGAAGTAGTAAACTATTATACTACGCAAATGCTATCGGGGCATGGCTGTTTTCGAGCCTACCTACACCGATTCAAGCACGATAGCTCGCCGGATTGCCCATATGTTTGGGCGAAATCGAAGATGCTGAGCACGTGTTCTTCGTGTGCCCGCGATTTGGTGCTCTACGGGATGATGTGGAGGAGACATTGAGACGCACAATTACCCCAGGTAATGTTGTTGAAGTGATGCTGACAAGTGAAGCTGCTTGGAACGCCATAGACAGATTTGCGAGAGACGTTTTAATGGACCTGCGTTCTATAGAGAGAGAAAGGGCGAATGGGACTTCGCCCATTTAAAAAGATAAGTAAAATGTTTATGAATATAACATTGTTTATAACAAGTTAAGAATTGTAACATTCTAGATCCCCCCCCACGAAGTAATGCCTAGCGGCGGTTCCGTGGGGACCAGAGGCAGGGGCAAAGCGGAGGTTTTAGTCGGTATTATACCAGGGCGGTATCGAGTCCGACATACCCAGCAGAAGACGGTCTGGGATGCATAAAAGCATTTCCTTCGCTATACAAAAAAAAAAAAAAAAAAAAAAAACAACACACACACACACACACACACATCCATTTTTTCTAGGTATGCCAAAACGTTCAGAAACCTTCAAAACGTCGAGAAATGTAAAAATTTTCAATTCCGATTTTCGGCCCATTACATAACTTACCCTACGGGAAGTTAAAAAAGTTCAGAATTTCCAAATATTCAAAATAAATTTTCTTCAAACGTCTTTCTTTCAAAAAAGTAAATTTTTGTCAAAATTTATAGTTCTCAAAATCTAATTTTTGAGTAATTTTTTTCAAAAAGTTAATCTTTTTAAAAAAATAGTTTTGGTACGGGAAGTTCCAGCAATTTGCCTTAAGGCCACGATGCCATGCGCCCCGCTAGTTTGATATCGAAATTGGCATTTTCAAAAGTATCTTAATAAGAATTAGCTGGAAATTTTACTGGGTAAAAATGTAGAATAAGTTAAAACGATATAATCTCTATCTCGTCTCTAAAAAACGTCGCCGCGTCAAAATTGTTTTGCTGCCAGGAATAGAGAAGAGCAGCACCCCGCACGTGGAGGGCGATCGGAGTTTTGAATCGGCAACTTAATTAAGTTTCCGCCCCGAATCGACACAATAAGGGCTTTGCACAGTGTTATCTTTCGGTCGTTTCATAAGTCTGTCATGAGCGGATTTCTACAGGAATATATTATACGTCTTCCCTTCTGTCCTTTCACTAGAAGAGTATTACACGAAATCATTGTCCTGTCTGACATTGCACCGAGATTCGACCGAAAAATATCATCATTGGGGATGTCGAAGCCAATAATTATAAAATATTGAAAATATTTTTATAATAATAAAAATTTGCTACTCCGGCTCAAGGTTGATCGTTATAAAAACTATAGACGTTTTACTTAGGGCAGGACGAGGTACAAATGTCCTAGTTGACTTTGAGCAATTATATTATATTACAACAAATAACAAATATCAAGCAAACAACTATCTGACTATGTTCAGTAAAGTTCTCAGCTAATTCATCATTGTAGAAATTTGCTTTTATGCTGTTTTCCAAAAATTTATTACCTGGTTCTTTTTACGTGGAGTAAAATGGGATGATCAGGGGGCAAACAGGCCCAATGTCTTTGTTTGCTTAATTTGATTGATTTTTTGTGGAACCAATGATTTGTTGTAAAACCCTTTATTTGTAATATTAATTACGTATTTATTTTAAATATAACTACAAATTGTATTTGTATTTACAATATATTCAAAAGTTTAATTTATTGTATTGGCTGATTTAAATTTGTTATGATTTTTTATTATATTTCTTTTGTTTTCATATCATAATCATAGAATGCTTTGATTTGGCGTGAACAGTCTTCTTTTTAATTTTAAAGGGATTTTACAAAATATTCAACCAATGCAAAATATAAATTTCATTAGTGCAATTTTTACAGAGATAGGATAACACTGTAAATAACCTTGATCTGGTATTTGGTCAGAAATATTTATCATCAGTGTTGAAATAACTATTTATTTAATTTATCTCCTGAAAAATCGTTATTTTCACTATAATTAAAGTTTTTATCTTATTTTTTTTTATTTACTATGTTATTTTTTAAATCTTTGTCAGCGTAAGGGTTTTGTGCGATTTTTTGTCAAACATTGGTGGTAATTTAAATTAGATTTAAATAAACCTTATCATCACAAAAATATTGGAAAATACCACACTTTTGTTAAAAATTCACCAAATATCAAGGTTGAAATAATTATTTAATTAATCCATCTCTTGTAAAATTGCTGTTGTTACCTTAATTTATATTTATATACTATTTTTTATTGTTTAGTCCTTTGCCAAGGTAAGGGTTTTTTTATCAATTTTTTAATTAGATTTAAATATAAGACTATAAAAATTTTGCACGCAAAAATTCTGATCACCTTACAAAAGTATTGGAAATTGCCACACATTTGTTGAAAATTCGCCTATTTATCGTGAAAGTTTATTGTCGAAATTTTGAGAAAACGTATGAAAATGCATTGTTAAATAAAAGTCTAATTATTTTTAAGTTTTTATCCTTTTATGATAGAGCTTTCCTCGTTTTCATGTGTATACCTACACCTCCAAAAATATTTATACAACTCATTACTTAAAAATAAGTCATGATCCCTAAATTTATTACAACTATGATTCCCGTAGACTCTAATACCGTCAACAATAAGACTTATCTACCATTTTTTCATCGAGTAAGATATTAATAAACGTCGAAAATATTTATTTTACCTATTACGATGCTTATAAAATTTGTGACGGTGTCATAATAATTTATAGAGGATATTAGTTGACAAACTGATTTTTTCACAGTCTTTTATAAAAGGTGAATCCATTGTGCGCATGTTTACAGCTAACAAATTACTTAGAATGTTTCCATTCGATCCAAGAGAACGTGTTAAGAATACTGTATTCTTTGAGGGATTTGGGAATTTGAGAAAGATTTGGGGAAAGGATCAGTGTGTGTGAAAGTTGAAATAGGCATTTTAATATATTAGAATTATATGAAAAATTTAGAAATTCATTTGGATAAAAAATTTGGTTTAAATGTAATGCAAAATGTAATTGTAATTCATATCTAATCATTTTAATATTAAGCTATAGAACGAAATAGTATTGGATTTCGTTCTTAACGTTTAGCACCAAAATTACTATAAAAATTATTCTGTTTGTTATCATGCTAAAAATACTCCATGCATTAATGTAATAGAGGAAGTGTAGAATGTTAGTTACAACAATCAAAAATATAATTTTTTAACAAATTCAAGAATTACTCTGGCTGATGATCACTACAAATATGACAAATTTCACACATGCTTTAATTTCAATATTTTGCGCAATCTTTTGACTAACTAAATTTTTTTAAATAATTCATACCAACGTTCAAAAAAACTGTGCAAAAACATTTTTGTCCTCAAGATAAAAGTCTGACTTACCTAACACAAGATTAAGATACGTGTACTTAGAAATAGATCTTACACTTTATATTCACACAAAGAAAAGAATCCTTATTTCTATTGATTTGAGTTTGGAGAAAACTTAGTACTCATAGAGAGAGAGCTAGTAGAAACAGTTTTTGAGCATATTATATTTTCTGGTTTAATAAAATTATATCCTTATTGATATCTGTTAAACATACGTGCATTTATATAGATTAGATTATTAGAGTTTTGAATTTTGAAGCTGAGATATATAAATAGGTTCTTCTAAGGCTATACATCAAATAAAAGATTTATAAACAGATCTTCAATTTTGCCATATGTTTTGGCATACAATTTTATATCATCATCTGTGGATGATGTGTCTTATATCAACAGAAAATGCATAAAGCACATAACTTAGCACTACTATTTATACACTGACTTGTTTTTAACGAAGAAGTTTTTTTTGTAAAATAATGCGAAAATTAAAGAATTAAAGAAAATATTTTTTTTAATCGAAAAATAAGTAGCAACTGATTTGGTGGTCTGATTTATACTTAATAAGTATAGATTTTTCCTATTTGAAGGGAATCTGTGAATAGACTTTTTAGAAGAGTTTTTTAGTAAATTAATTAAATCATAATTAACTTCCCGTATGGTAAGTTGTAGTAATCGCAAAAAATCAAAAATGAAAATTTTTGCATATCTTTACCTTTCAAAAGTTTCTGAACATTTTGGCATACCTTAGAAAAAAATAGAGTGAATAATTGATTACATTTTTGCGAAAGCAGATCCATCCAGCTGTAGATACATAAGTGCAAAAAAATAGCAGTTTCTTAGAGGACAGCGCATCCGATTAGAGTGATTCAAATTGCAGATTGCTTGTGTGGACTAAAAATGCATTTATAAAATACAAAGATAAAATTTACAGTATTTTCAATAGTTATTTTAAAGTATTTAAAATAATTGTTATTACTCACTCACTACTTATATTAAATCATCATACTACGGTTATTATTTTCATGTAAATTCTATCCTTTGCTCTCTTATTTATTTAAATTTATGTTATTATTTATCAATATTACTATATGTTAACTAGTAATATAAAATAAATACTACTAGTAATAAACTAGTAATAAAAAAATGAAAAAAATTACTCGAGTGTTTAATTACTGTACGGAAAGTTCCAGCAATTTGCCTTAAGGCATTAGTGCCACAAATCACTACTTTTAAATATTTCAATTATCTTGGGAAATTGTCTACCACCTCTCCTTCTATAAGACGCAACAAGCATTCATATTGTTGAGAAAACTCAAACCACTCCCGTGGGCATTGTATGAATATAATATAATACGTATCAGAGGAGAAGAAGAGAGGTCCTTCTGTGTTCCGCGCGACAATGAAAAGGTCCTTTTGAGAGGGTCCTTATTCACGCATTCAGTTTACATACTTGTTCAATATTTATACAATATTTACGCTTTCGGTTGCACGCCGGTTTAGGTTTTTAGATCCGCTTCGAAGGGCAATTCCACATACGACTTCCGTGCATTATTTCAATTTCGACGATAACATCTGCGAGTCATGTTTGGAAAACGTATTATGTTGTAGTTAAGAATGAATTTTGCGAATTCAAGTTTTAAGAGATGTAGGAATAGTCCTTCACGAAATGTAAAGGAGGCTCGAGAACTGATCGATTAGTTATTTTTATTTTGACGGTGAATGCATTAAATATAGGGTGTCCCAGAACTCAACGTTAAGACAACACGGGCTCATAGTATTGATCACAATTATCATGAAACACATTCTGAAAAAATATCTCACAAAGTATTTTAGGGACAACCTAGAACTTCGGTAAAATGGTAACCATTTTTCGGTTCTACTTTGGTCAAAACATTACATATTGTCATCATAATAACTAATTTTTTTTTTGAATTTTAAAAACTGGTTGCAATCTCAAGAAGTTAAAAAAAAAGTTTATGTGGTTAATTCTCATGTTTTCTTTAGATTTGAATCCGCAATGGAAAACCACATTTCTAACACGACAGCCGAGAATATGGTGATACAATTATTCCAAGTTTTCAAGAATTAAAACTATCGTAGAACTATGAATTAAAATTTTCAAAATTGGTCAACTTTGAGAATCCTCTTTTTTAAAAAAAATTACAAATTTGTATTGACAATTTTCATCCAAAGTTGGCGCAAATCAAAATTTTAGAATGGAAAAACACAAGATAGTATTATAACAAAGAAAAAAATCGAGTAAAAATGAAAAAAAAAATCAAATTTGCAAATACCGGCATACTCTTTCTTGCATTGTAATAAATGTTTTTTAGTTAGTTCTATCTAACTTCTATACGGTTTATCTTGACTTCACCGACTTTTCTCACACCCTGTTATATCATTTTCTTAATTAAATTGCAAAAACAATTTAATATTTATTTAATAATTCGCGTAAAGTATATACTTTTTTGGATAACGAGTTAAAATTTATATAACAGCTCTTGGACATTTTATTTAGTTACGATGCGAAGTTATTCATTTAGAAAAAAATCCATTATAAACAAAAAATACTGTATCATCCAAATCAATTCTACATACATTCTTACTGACTTCTCACACATTCTTAGACATAAAAGAATAAAAATCATACCAAAGACCCAATAATTTTAATTCAGTAATATGTTAATTTATTAGTAATTAATTACTTTTTAAGTTCTACTTGGTATAGTGTGAGGCAGGGCAAAAAGCCTTTTGGTTTTATAAAATGCATAATTCGATGTCGATGAAACTTGACATACATTGTTACTACTCTTTACTAAATATTTGACAAAAATTTAAAGTTGGAACATTCAATAGTTTTTGGGATATGCGAGGTTGATGGGTGGCTGACTCCGCTCTCAATACTAGTATTGAAACAGTGTGTACGTTTTCAAAAATACATAATTCGATTTTGATGAAACTTGACATACATTATACCTACACTTTACTAAATATTTGATAAAAATTTAAAGTTGGAACATTCACTAGTTTTTGGGATATGCGAGGTTGATGGGTGGCTGGCTCCGCTCTCAATACTAGTATTGAAACAGTGTGTACGTTTTCAAAAATGCATAATTTGATTTTGATGAAACTTGATGTACATTGTTACTACACTTTACTCAATATCTGACAAAAATTCAAAGTTGGGACATTCAAGAGTTTTTGGGATATGCGTGATTGATGGGTGGCTGGCTCCGCTCTCAATACTAGTATTGAAACAGATTGAAAATAAAAAAGCTTGATAATAAAAAAGCTCAAAAAATACTTTCTTTATGATTATTAAAGTAAATAAATGCGTCATCAATTCTTGTAGTCATTTTTAAAAATTTTTTTTTTGTAATTTGTCATTTTGTAATTTTTTTTCCTTTACTAAACAACAATTTCCTTACCAGGTGAAAAACCGTTCAAATGCGAGCACTCCGGCTGTGACCGTCGCTTTGCCAACTCATCCGACCGCAAAAAGCACTCGCACGTCCACACGTCCGACAAGCCATACAATTGTCGTGTCGGAGGCTGCGACAAGAGCTATACACATCCTAGTTCCTTAAGGAAACACATGAAAGTACATGGCATGAGCAATTGTTGCCCCGATGGAACCACAAATGGCACAGGCGCCGGCTCTGGAAACAACCGAACTGGTAAGTTTATGATTATAAATATATACCTTAAGTTGTTTCAAGGGCCAATTCTGCGATAGAATAGAAATTTTATGGTAATGCTAAGTTATGGTATGATCGGCAGTAATTATTAACTTCCCGAAGGAGAAATTTATGTTTTCATCAAAAAATCCGATTCGCTAATTTTATGTTTTCTCGACGTTTCAAGCCATTCTGAATCGAATGAGATCAAATTTGGAAAAAAGTATGTGTGTGTGTGTGCGTGTGCACCAACAGATTTTTTGCCGTAAATCGCCGTTTTCTCAAAAACGACTGGACCGATTTCAAAAATTTAAAAGCCATTTGTTGCATCTCGATGAGGGCTATTGTTTGTCAGTTTTGTGCGATGATCGGCCAAGCCGTTTCTTTGTAAATAGCAGAGAAGTGAAAAATTTTTTGTCCACGTTTTAGCCCGCAATTCTGAATCGATTTTGAAAATTCAAAAATCGTTCGAAAGATATTGGTTGGGAATCGACCTGATTAGTTTTTGGTAGAGATAGGCCGGGCCGTTTTCTTGTAATAAAGTTAAAAAAAAATTTTTTATGATTATTTTTACGATTTTTATGATTATTTTTTTGACTGTAGATACCATAGTCTTCTAGATCATACTAAAATATTACGGCCCTACGACAACTGGTTCAGCTTTAAAAATTCGTCCAAGTTTGCCAAAATTGGTATCGTTAAAATTAGACCTTTGATCGACGTTTTCTCAAAAACGCCTGAACCGATTTTAGAAATTTAAAAGCCATTTGATGTATTTCGGTGACGACTATCGTTTGTCAGTGTGACGATCTGCCAAGCCGTTTCTTTGCAATTTGAAAAAAAGTGTTAAACTTTTAGTCCACATTTAAGCTCATCCTACCGAACCGATTTTAAAAAATCAAAAACTGTTCAAAAGATATTAGTTGGGAATAGTTTTAGATGAAAATCTACCGAGTCGTTTTCTTGTAATTAACTGTTGAAAAAAAATTTAAGCCGATTTTTATGGATTTTTTTTAGCGATATATACCATGGTCTTATGAAACTTACTGAAATATTACGGCCTTACGATAAATAGTTTGATTTTAAAAATTCATCAAAATTTGTAAATGAGTAGTTCTTTTGACATTTGTTGAAATTAAAATTAGACTATTTACTTGGTATAATGATAAAGTACTTGGTCTTGAACATAATAAACCATTAAAGTCCTGGAAACTGGTTCAATTATAAAAATTATTGATTTTTGAAAATTTGCTTTAAGAGAATACCTACTCCGAGTTAACGTATTCGTTCGTTCATTTTCAATTATGTGTATTAAATCCACTCGAAGTACTTTTAATCACTCATAAATAAATATATTTCTAATTGATTAAGTCGATTATTCACACATATCGGGAAGTTCATGTAACTTGCCTCAAGGCTAATTACCAATACCAACTAGTTTTGTTGTTATTTCCACAACTAAATCATATTGTTATTCTTTTAGGTTACGATAGCGAAGGTGAAGATTCCACGTCCTCCGTGGGATCCTTATCAGGACACCAGACCAGCAGCCACATTGGCGGTCATCAGCCTCAAGCTCAGCCAACCACCAACCACATCCATTTGAACAATCAGAAGAACATAAGTCCTCCTCTGGCAAGACAATGTTCCCCACTAGTCACAGTGAACAACCAAAAGAGCGAATGGTACACACATGAGCCATCTCTTGGCAATCACCACGCATTTGACCACCATTTCAACCATCATTTGAGCCCGCTGAATCATCATTTGAATCTTAATCATCATCATTTGATGATGAACCATCACCACACAGGTGCCGCAACGGCATATTGACATTAGTGAATAGAGGTGATTTTAGTGTAAATATTGTAAAAAGTAGGATAACAATTTCTCTGTATTACTTGAAGCTATTGATTTTAATTAGAACAGTTTTAAGCATTTTATAAACATCGAAGAAGACATTCAGAGACGGAATTAGTAACTGGAAATTAATATAGGTATATTTTTAAATATGATTTTATTAAGCAATATATAATACTTTTTTCTGCTTGCAAATTCTCTAATTTCCGATTCACATTTTTCATTATTCTTCTCTCCAAATATATATATTTTTAAATATATTGTATATAGGTATATATAAATTAATTATAAGTAAAAATAAAATTTATAATGAACTGAATAGACAAAAATCAGATAAATTATCTGAGATAACAATTATGTTATTTTGTAATGTGATATATCGTTCGACTTATAATTTAAATAAGACTGTCATATATGATAATTTTGCTTGATTGTAAAAAATTCTGTAAGCGATCTCAAATATTAATTGATGTTAAAATTTAAAAAATGTTGTGAAATGGTCTTTACAATTGTACCTACGCTTATTTATGCGTTTGCAAGATATCCTGGATTTTATGAAGGAATTATGGTATGAGATTTTTTCCTCATCTCAAAAATATCTAATTATATTCCTATCAATATTGAAACAGTAATTAAATCAAATGCTTACATTAAAAATATTTAAATCTCACACGGTATGCTCTAATTATATTCACCAATAGAAAATATATACTGAATAGTTGGAAAAATATAATATAATGCATATAGCGTTACTATTATGAAATATTTGAATGTATTATATGATTATATTTTAGGCTAAAATGTAATGATGATAAGAAATTTATGATCTATAGATATGTTGTTACGAATGATGTTATTTTGAGTACAAATTAATATTTATTGAGTTTAGTAGTTTAATTTAATTTTCTAATTTTCAGATTACATGATTCTTTGAGAGCTAATTAATACAATGTATTGTTATTAGTACAGTTAAATCTTACATTGAGTATAAAAATGAGTTAACTATCAATGATTATGTTTAACAGTATATAATGCTATAGAGCAAATCGATATACTTTAATTTTGTATTTTAATATGTACATACATTGCAGCTTCTTATGTTTACGTACGATTTTAAACAATTTTTTTTCATTTGTAACTTTTAAATAATATAAGCAATTATATGAATTATAATTTTTAAAGTTGATCATATAAATAATTCTCAATAACTCAAAATACTCAATAACATTGTTAATGAAAACAATACATTTTACCGTTTATTATTTAACTCTGGGCAAATTTCTTTTTAATTATTTTTTCAAGTGTATATGATTTATCATCTTATTTATTATATATCATATCTTAGAACCAGAATGATGTTGATGGCCTCAATAACTGAAATCTACGAAAAAATACTGAAAGTGATAAAATGTCACGAATAAAATAGCATAGAACTCTAATGTATTTATAATTATTCAACTATTTCTATCCTTAACTAACCAGGTTAACCTCATTTTAGTTGGTAATGACTAAATACTTTTAAAATTAATTACATAAAATTGAACTAAAATTACGAAATTTTTAATCACTATTTTTTCAATTTATAATAAATTTTAATTTATATTCACTGAATTTTCAAAATATAAATTCGAATATATTCTAAATCTAAAAAAATTGAATCAGAACAAAAGGGCCATTTGCCAGGAGAGAACCCGCGAGCACACGTTTACAATTAAATGACCGAAAATAATCAATAACTTTCTTTTTCTCTTCTATAGGTTCAGTGTAATCTTCCAGATGCATATCCTGTTGCTCCTGAAGATCATGATCAAATTTTTGACACGAGGGTAAACCTTTATTAATTTTATCATTGTTGCATGTAGTCTATCTTGTATGACTTTGCACTAATCCTGTTTTTTTACGGGTTCATCTCTCAAATGGGTTCGAACAGCGTTTTATTTTTTGGCAACTCTATCTTCTAAGCATTATCTATTTGGTAGTTCAAATAACTCACTAATTCTACTAACCTCATTAACTTTGCTGTTTTAACTTATTTAATAACATCAAAGATCACTTGTTCATTGAAGGGCGAATACTTACTTGGAACAAGGCTAGATCAAGTGAGTACAGATGTTCATATATATATATATATATATATATATATATATATATATATATATATATATATATATATATATAGTGTATTCAAATAATCCCGATCATCACTAACTCAATGTTTCGAAGTCCTACAGTACTCTGCCTGTAAGCTGCCTAAACACTCCAGAACAAAAATAGCAAGTTCAACCTGCCACACATAGATTGGTATAATATGTTATATTATTGCTTTTACAAAATCATGAAAAAAAAAAATATTGAAAAAAAAATTTTGAGGAAAATATTTGGAAAAAAGTTCATGGACTATTATGAAGTCCATGTCTTAGTAGTTTTCAAAAATTACTGCTTCCCAAAACTTTGTTCGAAAACATATTTTTCCCCATTTCTTTTTCAATTTTGTTTCCAAATGATTTTCTTCTCAAATTATTATTCCAAACTTTTTTTTCAAAAATTTCTTTTTCCCAAAACTTCGTTCGAAAACATATTTTCCCCATTTTTTTTTTTTTTTTTTTCCAAACGATCGAAGCTTGCTCCGAGGCGGGCTTCGAAGTTTTTTGAATGTACAGTCTTTGGATATGCAATAATATAATAATATAATATAATATAATAATATAAGATAATTTTTATATAAAAAATTGCAGAATTGAATATACACGGTAAAAAGCAAAATGTATAGTCTTTAGATACGCGATAAATTTTTTGGAAAAATCAAAATCAATTACTATTTTATTTTTATATTAGAACAATTTTTATTATGTTTTACTAATATAAAGTTGTTTTTCCCACCTATATTCTAGACAGATTTTCATTTTCAATGAACTTTTCAGGACGTAGTGCTTGTACCAGAATAAGGTATGTTAGATTTGAGTATGCATATTTTGATTTCAAATACTTTAATTTATAAGTCACGAATAAAAAATATTATTAATTAAATATTTAACTTAGAAATGAGATTTGTGGTATGACTAAATAAATTTGATGTTTGATTTTAAAGATCACTCTTGGATCATTTTTGTATATCAATTTAAATTTTATAACTTGTGCACGGTAAGACTGACTTGAGTAAAAATAAAATTGTTAAAATATGAATGTAAATAAAATAGAAAAAAATTGTCAGTATATTCAAAAATGTATTTTCATTCCTTAGATATCACTTCAAAACCAAAAAATTGTTTTAGTTATATAAGTTTTTAACAACTTTTGAAATATTTGCAGTGTAAATTAATAGAATACTTACTTTAAAAAAAATCGAGCATCAATATAGATATGAAGAGATGTTATTTAATTTAAATTATAGCGGTTTTATTGTTGTTAAAATTAAAGATTCAAACAAATATTCGTTGGATTTTCGAACAAAGAGGCGCTCGGGTACATGCAGCGCCATCTTTGCACGCTCCGTAGTCGCACATCTACAAGTTCTTTTTGCATATCTATGGTTTATGCCAGTCTGTGGAATGTCATTGCATAGAATCATTTTCTCATCGGAGTTGGTCGAAAAAACATCGTGGAATACAGAGGCCCCCTTGCCATTTGCTGCCTGGAATATAATTTGGTATGTTGTACTAGTGCTAAATACATTTCGCTTTGCGGATTCACTCAGATTTTATTTCGTTCGACAGTGTTGCGTCATACTCTGTTCAAGTCTTATTAGTGTCATAGACACCGGATATATTTTATTTCATAATGTCTACTGTTGAATAAAACTATTTAGTTGACCTTGTGCATTATATTCGAAAAGTGATTTGGACTCGGTTCTAAGACTTCCGGGAATAATATAATTTATTTTTAATTCACTATTGTTTATACAAATATAAAATACTATTTTTCAAAGTTTTTGCTGTAATTGGAAGACACAAAGTGAAAGTAAATCTGAACTACTATTTCATGTTTATTTTTATCATCGAGACTTAATCATTTAGTGAGTATCTGTACATATTGATAAATTTTAAGTGTTATTTAAATCATTACTGTGTGCTAACTCACTTCAATTTACAGATCAGAAAAATTATGTACATTGGACCACAATCAAGTCAAGTATTAGGTCAAGTATTTTAAAGCAAAACTATTTTATTATGGAACTGCTTTGTGCTCAATGTACTATTTTATCGGGTTAAAGTAGTCATTTCAATTTGGTTGAAAATAATATTGGAGGAACTGCATTGCACACGAAGACAGCTTTGGTGACATATCATCATTTGATGATGTTTAATGAAGTTCATCATAATTCAATACTAATTTCTGTATTTTACAGGTGCAGGTACGTTTGAATTTGTTGCATTTTGTGCAGAGTCATTAAATTTTTATGTCACTGTAATGCACTAATTGTGGTTTTATTGGAATTGCATTTGATATGAATGTATTTATCGAACACTGAATTTACTCAAGATATTCATTAATTGATACTTTCAGTTTTTGCTTTATCTTTTACAAGTTTACGAAATCATTAAAGCATTGGCTTTCATGAATCAAATGACCATTTGCATGATATGCATTCTTAGTTCTCGTATCTAATAATACTAACAAATACTAACAAACACTAATCCATTCTACTACTACTAAAATATAATGTGGTCGTTTGAATCTTATAAGTCTATGCAATGTGGATTTGAAGTATTACATTACATTTCAATTTTTACTATTGTGAATTCATGTTAATGCATTTCATATAAAACCAAGTGCAATTATTAAACTGCTGGTAAATTCCCAGAACTATATTTCTGAGCATCAAGATAAAATCACATGTAAACCGCAACGTAACATATCAAACAAATTGTTAAGTATCGAATAGCCAAGTAATATCGAGTGAAAATTCAGTTTACATTTATTTTATTTTATCAATTTTATTTTATATTATATTTATATTATATTTATATACTTAATTTATTCTTTACTAGATCTACTGATTTGTAACTTCATAATTTGTTTTTTTATGCATATTTGATCGGACACTGTGATTATTACACAACAGTCAACTGGAATAATACGATCAAAATATTTGGAAAGCATTCAAAGTATGAATAACTTAGAGATTTATCAAACAATGACATTTTTAAGACCACAAGAACTTCTTAGACTTATGAATAAATGCTCGTTGAAGGGGACTAAGAAGAAAGTTCAATTAAGTGTCTAAAAATCAATATTTAGCTTATCTATTTTCATATGCTGTTAATTTTTTATTTTATTTCATTTTTTTATAAATTTTTTTCATTCAAGATTGAAAATTCAAACTCTACACAGAGCCCATCACAATGGATTGTTTGGTAACGCATAAACACTTTTATGAAATCTCTATACAACATCAATGTTTACATTTCTAATATTTTTTTATTCCAGATCCTGGTTCAACTGCCAATTCAAAAATGCAAGAATATTCATTCCGACTACTTTACTAGAAATCTCTCTAGAAACATTTAATCAGGTGTATGTTTATCCATAACCAGTATAAATGCAAACATTGCTAAAATATTTTTTTTTTCTCAGGTCCTTTCAACTTCTGCTGCTCTGCACACTAACTCCTTCACCAGGAACATTTAATCAGGCATGTGTTTATCCATAACCAGTATAAATGCAAACATTGCTAAAATATTTCTATTTTTCTCAGGTCCTTTCAACTTCTGCTGCTCTGCACACTAACTCCTTCACCAGGAACATTTAATCAGGTATGTGTTTATCCATAACCAGTATAAATGCAAACATTGCTAAAACATTTCTTTTTTTTCTCAGGTCCTCTCAACTTCTGCTGCTCTGCACACAGACTCCTTCACCAGGAACATTTAATCAGGCATGTGTTTATCCATAACCAGTATAAATGCAAACATTGCTAAAATATTTCTTTTTTTTCTCAGGTCCTTTCAACTTCTGCTGCTCTGCACACTAACTCCTTCACCAGGAACATTTAATCAGGTATGTGTTTATCCATAACCAGTATAAATGCAAACATGGCTAAAACATTTCTTTTTTCTCAGGTCCTTTCAACTTCTGCTGTTCTGCAAACTAACTCCTTCACCAGGAACATTTAATCAAGTATGTGACTATTCATAACCAGTATGAATACAAACTTCATTAAAATGTTTCTTTTTGCAGATTTTCTCAATTCAACTATCACTGCCCTGATGCTCAAAACATCATGAGTTTGGAATGCTCATCCATGTAAATGATTCGCAAGTTGTTTTTTTTAATGACTGCCTATAATTATGCATGATTAACTTAACTCTTACTAAATCACTAACACGACTAACCTCACTAACTTAATCAGTTATTATAAAAACCACTTGTTGAGTTTTACAATGAATGTCTTGCTGAGATTGCTTGAAAGACATCGCTGCATGATTAATCAGGTAATTTATTTTTTATAGTATATTTTATGAGACTTGTTACTAATTCATTGTTTTTGTTCATAGGGTAAGCGACAACTTCAAGCCAAGTAGTCTTCAACTCTCAACTTACTCTTGTCTTGATCAAGACTTATTCTCCAGCAAAAACAATCGCTCGATCTACTAATTATGTCGTCCCAAGTAACTACCACCGGCTTGTCGTCAGGGAAGGTGCCTACTGTGATATATAGATTAGTTAAGTGCATAAATGTTAATGAAATAATGAATAAATATATTGTATTTAATTTAATTTGTTGTTTTAATTTAATTATGAGCCACTTTACGGTCTTTACGGCCAAATTACATTATGCTGTAACGTAAATTACGAAGATATTTAAACATTTCTAACTTAATAACAAAAATTTCTTGTGTTATTAATAGGGATACTTATTAAGTGCACTTTTTAGTGTAGACAATTGTGCAAAACAGTTTCTTTACTGTTTGGGTGTTTGCAACCAGTTTGCCGCATCTTGGTTAAGCTCTTTATACCTTTGCTTTGACTCGGTAGAAACGCGTTGACAATGGAGTTTGCTTTTTTCCAAACACTTAATACGTCGGACCCATGTTTTCTCTTGTTTAAATATTACACTTTCTATTATTTCTTTAAATGGTGCACTCTTTTTCTTAGCTATAAGTATCACTTAATTTAATATCATCCTGTGTTATTAATACATTTATATATACTATAATATATATATATATATATATATATATATATATATATATATTTATTGTGTAATAGCAATCGATAATGCTGCATTGTGTAAGAGCAATGCTGATATGCCAATTAACGTAAATTCGATATCGATATCGTGCTAATAAAGTATTGTTAAAAATAGTCAATCAGTGTTGTTCTTTAGAAGTGACAAGATATTTCAGCCAATATTTTAATAAAGAACTCAAGGCAATCTGAAGCCTACTATTACTATAACCACCGCTCGGCAAGGCTGTATTGACTAGGAGGTCAATAATAAACAAATTTATGTTATGTTTATTTTATGTTTGTTTCTCATATATACTTTTCATATACATTGTTTTACTTATTTTTGGTTGTTAATTATGTATTTTTCATATTGTTTTAATTTGTAACCCTGAATTATTTAATTATAGCACTGAAGATGGGTCAAATCAGGACCCGAAACGTATGTTCCCTTAATAAAAACATTTTTCAATAAAACTGTTTTTTAATTATTGGATGGATGCCCAAGAAACAATTTTATCATATATATATATATATATATATATATATATATATATATATATATATATTATACAATTAGATAAATGTTAATGTATTTTAGTCGTTTTCATTACTGCAATTGTAAGAATAAATTAATATAATTGTATTATTAAATACATAAATTAAAATACTGTGATACATTAAGAGTTTTGAATAAAACTAACTAAACTTTATTTGGAGTGTTTCATTCCACACCATTTTCAGTATTATATATATTAGAAACACACCGTACAGGTGCAGGTACTATAAACTGATAAGCTAATGTTATCATAAACATTAATATATTCATTAATTAGTTCTTCGAAGAGGATTTAATATTTTGAATAAATTTCATATAATATAATTTTTGTAATCTAATTCTATGGTGATTAATATTGTTAATGTAGTTGTAAATTTGGCCATTTTAAATAGACTAATCTATGGTTTTTCACTCATTTTTCAATCACTTTAATTTATTATACTATTATTTAATGTCTTAATTAGTTCATTTTAATTATTATACTTTGAATTGGTCAGTTTTACTTAACTATAACTTATAAAAAAATTACTTAACTATAACTTGTAAAAAAAAAATTCAAGTTCTCAGTCTTGTGTTATTTTCTTCTTTCGCACAAGAATATCTTCATTATTGTTAATATATCTTAATTTTTATTCGCTTAATTATTACATTAATTACATTCATATTCTTACCATATTTACCCTACCATCTCCTATTTTACTTTACACTACCTTACCATAACCTTACACTACCTTAACCTAATACTTACCTACATTAAGAACTAATATACTCTTACCTTGGTTATCTTACCACGTCTCGAACCTGCTACCCTGTCCTCTCCAGCGACTCCCACCTCCCAACGCGCGACGCCACGACGATCACATTAATAAACCGTTACAAAGTAGGTTGATATTATATATTTTAAACGAAAAAAAACTAAGGTCATATGGCAAAAAAAAAATTGAATTGGTATGCCTGTGCTGGCGTAATTGGTAGAGTGATGGCTTCGTATCGTAAAGGTACCGAGTTCGAATCATACATCAGGACAAAAAACGGAAAGAAGTAGTGCTGTTCGCGTTGAGGAATTTATTTATTGTAAGATAGCACAAAAATAAAATTTAGATTTAATAAACTAAGAGGTCATGAGGCCGAAAAAAGCAGGTTCGGTGTGGCCTGTGTTGGCGTAATTGATAGAGTGATGGATTCGTACCCAAAGAGTGCCGAGTTCGAATCATACCTCGGTACAAAAAATGGAAAGCGTGGAATTTATTTATTGTAAGATAGCACAAAGTTAAAATTTAGATTTAATAAACTAACAGGTCATGAGGCCGAAAAAAGAGCAGAATCGATGTGGCCTGTGTGGCGTATTGCTAGCGTGCTAGCTTCATGTCAACAGGGTACCGAGTTCGATTCATACTCCGGACACAAACGCAAAATAGCGTGCCTGTTGACGCTGTGGAACGAGGTATGCACGAATCACATCCGTTCGAATTTGAGACCCCAGGCGGGTATGCTCCCCTCGATCTCGATTGAGAGGAGAGATACGCGCGAGAATCCCGCAAAATCCCCTAATGAACCCCGCAGCAGCCCGAAAAGGGGCGAGGGGGGATTATAGGGGGGTGTGGGTTCACGAACCCGCGACCCTGTGGTCCAACCCTCCCGAAAAAGGGAGAGGGGGGACTATAGGGGG